CACTTTCCCACATCTGGACATTTAAACTCAGGTTATAAATCCCAACACAAATAAATAAGCTTAAAAGTGTTGGAACATTAGAATATTAGGAATCAGCCATTAAATGATAAAAAGTAAACAGTAAAAGCAAAAATATAAATAAAAAAGCAAGGAGTAAATGCCTATCTAATTTTACTAATGAAGATGCTAGGTAGATTTGTCTTGGGACAAATCATACCACAGATAAGAAGTTGCCTCTGAAAAGTCTCCATTTCTGGTAGACACCCATCATACCATAGTGTACAGCAGCACCCAGGGAAGACCTTCCAAATATGATTTTAATCATTGGTCAAAGCATATGGGAACAAGAGTTTATTCCATAGAAAAGTCCTAAATTGTTTAAGGCTTTAAAAGAGAACAGCAACACTTTGAATCAGGCCCAGATGTAACCAATCAGATTATATACATCTATGACAGATATAATCAGTAGCCTGCATGACTTTTGAAGTAGATTCCCCAGCTGCTTAGCAAATCTCTCCAATGTTCTCTTCCTGGGAAAGGCTAAAGGGAAAAAATAATGGTATACTTCAATCTTGCATCTAGATATTAATTATCTTTTAAAACTCCTACCAGTTTGTATATGTTGCCCTAAATATGACACCAGTGCTGTGATTGATTATACAAATGCTATGTTTGATAAACAGGAGAAACAGATCCAAGATGTTAATCATGGACCTCTGCTCAATATCTTTCTAGAATATGTCATGTGGATTATATAATCATTTACAGGTTCAGACCATGCAAATACAAGTGGTCTAGTGCTATCACATGCTAGTAACTTCTTCCATTCCCTGAAACTGGTGCCAGGTTCCTGCACTGAGATAGTAAATCATAAAGTAAATCATCTACCACATATAGCTACAAGTCTTCATCCTCCCCACATGTTCAACCTACCTCTTTTCTGGCAAGATGCCCTCATGGTCTTTCAGTGGCCAGGGGAGGATGTGGGGAAGTCAAAGAGTGAGCTGGCTCCATTCATGTATCTGGCAGTATATCATTCTCTTGGACTACCAGAATACTCCCAGAAGGTCCAAGAGGATGCCTTTCTCTCTGCTGGCAGCTGCATGAATGGAATCATTTGGTTGTCTGGCCATACCTTGTGTACACTGGCCCTCCTTTGGCTACTGAATTGTGCCCAATAAACAAACAGGTTAATTGCTTGGGTAAGAAGTTAGCAGATGGAAAATGCCAAATTTCTCTATCTGCAATGACCAAACAAGCTACATATGCATGTGTAATTTTCAGTGATGCCTGAATATGTCACTAATACAATGTCAGCCATGGATATAATTTTTCCCCTTTGAGTGGTAATGTAAATAACCTATACAACCTGTACAACTCACACCAGGTTTATTTAAATTTCATCCATAGAAAAGCAGTGATACAATTAGTATTTTTCATTTTGAAGATCTGTCTTTATTGTACACAACAATAAAGTATAGATAATGTGCAAACTATCATTATGAAATAGAAAAGAATAATCCTTAGAATAATTCCTATAGAGTAGAATTGCTTCCTGGAGTGATCAAAAATAGTTTACCTACCAGAAGAAGTTTGTACAACAAAGGTACAGCAAAGTCTTTGAAATTCTGAATAGTACAGAGAAAGTAGAACAGTTCTCCCTGTGTCTTTACACAGAAACTGAGAGTCACCTAGTAAGGAAAAATACTGACAATTTTATTTCTTCACACCAAACATAGAAGAGCTTGGAAAAATTTCCCTTTTGGACCACATAACCCCAAATCCTCCAGGAAGCATGGCCAGTTCTAGCAGTAACTTTTTTCAGCCCCTGCAAATGATATATAAAATTGACTTCTTTAAGATCCAACTGTGATGGCCAATAATATAGACTGGACAAGATTACAGAATGAAAGA